ACATGTTGGGCCTTCAATTCTCTAGGCAGCCTAATAATCTAGATACATAATAATGCCTTGTCTGCTTTAACTGACTTTGGAAAAATAACCCATGAGTTAAAAAACAGACAAGTTGCAGGGAGACATTTAAATCTGGGCAGATCACCCATACCAGTGAACTGCAGTGAAAGAAAGATGGTTGGTGTGTGATGAGCTTGATGCAGTTCCTCCCCAGGAGCCGTCAGCAGCCGCTTCAGTGCCTGGACAGATACCGCACACCTGCAAGTCATAGCTGCTCTGTAGTTAAGCTTGAGTTCAATGAGTGCTAAAAACTACTGGCAGCTACTGGTGATACTGGTGTTTGTCCCCTCCTTCAAAACATTTCCCATCTCATACTTCGTGCCCATGCTTTGCACAATCATGCTACCAAGGAGCAAGGGACAGGGGAAGTACCATGTGCTGCAAAAAAAGAGAGAGGTGAAAATGCTGCAGAAGAGCTTCCTTCCAAATTGCTTCCAGGTGTGCAGGTTTCTTCTGTCTGCTTAATTGTTTGATAGCAGGGAGGAGACTAGCTTACCAGTCTGTAGGCAACTAGAGGCATCATCATGGTGGCCTTTGTAAAAGATGGAGGTCTGGTTCTCCTCCCACCTACAGTATGGGTGTCACTCCAGTGTCTCTCATCTTCATGGCACAGGCAAAGCTACTTTGGAGAGGGGTAAGCAGAAGCTGGTCCATCTGGCCTGGGTAATGGGGATCCTTGCTGCTGAGTCTAATGTGTATTTTTCCTCCCAGAAAGCACACCCGTGTAGGGCTCTGCGGCAGGGCAGAGCATGCAGGATGCAGCTCAAGTGCTGAACACAGGGCTTGGAAAATGGGGAGAACAAAATGAGAAGGGGGGTGAAACTGATGTTTCCATTAACTGCAGAGGGGCATCATGCTTAGAGACTGTGAGAGGCCTGCACTGAGTATGAGATGATTGTAATACCTATAATGTTTGCTTTGTGTGTTTGGATTGCAAGCTCTTTGGCCCAAGGACTGTGTTTCATCATGTATTTACACAGATCCCAGCACAGTGGGTCACTGGTCTTAGAAGGGACCTCCAGTCTCAAGTGATAATAATGAACTGGCTTTCTTCTGAGTGTTATTTATCCAAATAATGCTATGTTCCATTGTGCAGCATTGTTTTTATTATTTTTTTTATTTTTTTGGTTCAAGTGAAATAAAAACATTGTCCACCCAAACACTGAGGAACAATATGAGTGCTCATCTCCTGCTGGGAAATAAAAATTCAAGAGTTTCAAATACCAGTGCTTTCTGCCCTCTTTAGTCACTTTGAGGACTTGTGTCTGATGATAAAATGCTTCAAATCCATTTTAAACCTTGTCCGGGCTTGCATTCCTTGTCTGGATCTTAGCAACACAAAAAAGCTTGCTTTTCAAGAGAGGCAACCCCCAGTTCATGTAGTTGATACTTACATGAAGAAGTCCAATTTATTTCTATAACAGCTGCTTGAATGCATATTTGCAGAATCTATCCCAGCATCTTTTAAAACGTGATTTAACTTAAAAGCTGAAGAAGTCTTTGGGAAGAGTGCAAACCAACCTGTTCTTTTGAACTAAAAGATACATTTTATTTAAGGAAAAAAATGCAGAATACAACCCAAAATCTCTCCACTGAACTCATCTTATTGGAAGCAAATAATTTTTTTCTTCCCAGGCACTTGCATGTGAAAAGTCTGTATATTTCCTTCCATTCTGCTGAACAGCATTATTAGAAGTTGATTGTGCCTGTAGCTATGTGCAAGATCTCTCTATCTTTAGTATGGTGAGATGCTAGGAAAGGCATTTTGGGTCTTATCTGATTGTTTTTCAAAGCATACAGAGTTACTCTGAACCCAAACTACATGATGAAAAGTGAATGCTTCTGCTTTAAAAATGTAGCTCAGCAATGATGTCTTCAGCATGAAACAGCCCAATGTAGCCAAGACATAATTTTATTATCCCAGATGAAAGACAAATATGATCTCATTGTGTTTTGTATGAAAAACATTATTTTGAGTCTGTCTGGTTCCTGCAAGCTTGCTGAGCTGTGTTATTCAGTAATGTTTGGCATATGGTAACTTTTTCTGAGGCTGGTGGGCAGAAAGAAAGAAAATAAGGCCAGGCTGGAACTGCCATCTATTTCCATGGGTTTATTCTTGCCCTTTGAGTTCTTTGTCAGACAGTTGCAATCTGCTACAGAACAACTCCAGTTGTTTTGTGTAAGTGCATCCCAGCTACAGTGTCAGTTCTCTTCCAGAGTGCTAAAAGACGTAGGTTGTCTTTAAAGGCTAGAAAGGTCTGGCCTTAGCGGCTGGGACACTGGCTTTTCCTTCTTTGATCTGTTATAAGAGGTGGTCTTCTTTGTATCAGGTATCTTAATGAGAGCAAACTTGCCAGCTCTCACAACAGAGCATTTCTTAGGCAGATCTGCACAGACATGTGAGCAGCCCCACACAAATCCTTCTGGCTGGGGGTTACCTGGGGCTAAACCACCCCAGGCAAGGAGCTGTGTCACTGCAGAGTCTGGTGCAGGTTTACATGCCCTGCTGCAAAGATGCATTAATTCCCTGCAGGCACTGGGCCACAGGGGACGTGGCTGATGCCCCACCAGCTCGGTGCAGCCATGGACCCTGATCTCTGCAGGACTGGCATGTGCCAGGCAGCCGTTTGCCCAGCCATGAGCTCCTAGAGAGGCTGCTGAGCATTTAACATCTCTTCATCCTCACTGCCGGCTCTCGGCTAGGGTTGTGAGAACTGGAGTTTTCAGCTAGTTTGAAACATTAATATTACCACATTCACTTGAATTTTGGGGTGAAAACAGAAAATAGAAGTGAAACAGATGAAGTTCACAGATTTAGGGAAAAGGTCATTTCTAAATTACAACTTCATTGTTCTGATAAGTCCCTAAATAACTTTTTTTTTTTTTTTCAAGGCTGATATTTCATTTTGGTATTTTAGAATGGAATTGTCATCTTTACCTCCTCAGTTTGGGAATCCTTGAAGTTTTTTCTATTTTTTTTTTCCTTATTCTTTCTTCTTGGAAACAATTGCGATGAAGTAGGAAAACTCAGTTTTCATCTACTTTTAATGCTTTACAAATAGAAAATATAAGACCAAAATTACAAGATATTGAATGGAAAGGCAAACTCCCCCACAAACACATTCACTTTCTCTCCATTGTTCTGTTTCCTTGTTTACTGGAAAGAAGTGAAAATAAAAAAGAAGTTAAAAATGTGTTTCCTTACACTTGCTTGAACTTCACTGTAAAGGAAGGATAAAGAAAGAAAAACAAGCGCCTAAATGGTTTCCAAAAATAATGACATTAAATACAAAGTGAAAGATCCATTTTTTAATTCAGCAGTGTTTAGTTTTCCATAATACATTTGGAAATGCCTGTATTTTTAAAAGCATCTGTTCTTTTCATTTACCTGTTACTTCCAGTTGAAATTTTTTAAGTAGCTCTACTTGAGTCAGCTGAGTGAAGAGCTTCTTGAAGAAGGGGAAAAAAAAAAGTATATGCTCTTAATGAGCAACAAAGTTAGTGATCTGTAGCAGTTACCCAAGTGAGTAATTTTGTTTCATTAATGCACCCTAAAGCACCCAGCTGTTTTGGCAATGGGCACTGCAGGGCCATTGCAATGCTCAAAGAGGCTGTTGTATTGCCAGCTGCGGTGTAAGGGATGGGTTTACCAACAAGGAGGGAGAAAGGCAGTAGCTTGGCGTAAGAAGAAAATTAAAGACCATCTATTATTGTCATGGAAGCCAATGGCAATACTCGTAAAGGCTCTAGCAGAGCAGGGTCACACGTCAGGTTTTTTTCTGGCTTTTCCAACCTCCAATTTCTTGGTTACTGTAGATTTTTAAGAGCGCATCTTGATGCACATAGCACATCAGTTTGAAAGGGGAAGGAGGACATATACCTGGCTTACTTGAATCCTTCTTGGAGGAAAGTAGAAGAGCAGATAGCAGAAACTAAGGGAAAGCTCTATTATAACTTCTAAGCATCTCTGGATCATTTGATATGGGACACACACAGCATATGATATATTAGGGTGAAGTATTGAATATCCATAAAGGAGCACTAGCAAATGGTGTCAATTTTCAAACACTTTGCTTTGTCAGCTTCACAAATTTAAGATCAATCACCCAAAATTCTCTGTATAGATCAGCTGAAGAGACATAAAACCTTATGGTTATCTCCCTGACAAAAAAGTTGAAATTAAAGATGAGTTTATAAAGACTCAGACTGGCAGAATTCTGTAGTGCTAAAAACTGGGGTATCCAGCCTCTCAGTTTAGAAATAAAAGCCGAGGAAAAACAATGACAGCCAGTGCACTGCTAGTAAATACATCTTGAAGGACAGCTGAACACGCAGAAAAATAGATTTCACAGAGAAGCTTATTTTCAGCATGAATGCCATTTTCTCACTGCATTATCATAAACATGAGAGAAAAAACAGCTATAAATAAAAAATTCCTGGGCAGTCCCTGGAGACTTGTCAAAAATGTGTAGTTTTTGTATGCTGCAGTGTAAAAATATTCATTAAAATTAATTTTTAAAATGCCCTGTCCAATATTAGTTGCCTTATGTCCTTCCTTTGATCATAAATTATAAATGAACCAGCAAAAAATGAAGAAACCATGATTCCATTAATGAATTATTTAAGTGTGATTGTTAGTTTTCGCAATCATAGAGCTAATAAGCTCAGGCTGGTGACACTGAAGTGTTTCTCATTTGAGGGTGGTGAGGATGGTAATGTTAACACCATTATCAGTGTGTCCAGTATAAACCCAAAGAGCTCCTTTGATGGCTACGGGGTGGCATGGCCACTGGAACTTTCATTGGGTCTGTACTACAGGAGAGAGTTGACACTGAGGAAAGTTGGTGTGAACAGGGTTCGCTGGGTTGTTCCCCCCCCCC